GAGGGAAATTTTCCGTTGCTGATCCCTCGCAGATCAGCGAGGGATCAGCGACGGAATGAGTTTTTTGGCAATTCTCTCGCTGATCCCTCGCAGATCAGCGAGGGATCAGCGACGGAAAATTTCCCTCGCAGATCAGCGAGGGAATAGCGAGGGATTTATTATTTTTGGGATTTCCCTCGCTGATCCCTCGCTGATCTGCGAGGGATATTTTCCCTCGCTGATGTTCGTCGCTGATACCTGTTTTTCTAGTAGTGAGTATACGGTATTGAGTAGCATCAACGGAAGGAGATGGATCATTGAGGATTAGAGGATCCGTGGCACTTAGGGGAGTGATGACATCTTTGGCGCCTTCCATATGGAATTTAGTTAAGACATCCTGGATATGGCGGTGCCGAGAGAGAAAGGGCCCCGTGGAGGTGGGAATTACCTCGACACCTAGAAAGTGATGTAGGGGACCGAGATCCTTAACCGAAAATTTAACACTTAGAGCAGTGACAAACTTGTCAAGGAAGTCGGGATTGTTACCGGTAAGAACAATGTCATCTACATAAACCATGAAGTAGCATGTGATGTGGGATGTTTGGTAGATAAAGAGAGATGCATCGGCCATAGATTTTTTGAAGCCAAAATGTATCAGAAACTTGGTAAGTTCAATGTACCAAGCACGCGGTGCTTGCTTCAAGCTATAGAGAGACATTTTGAGTTTGTAGACATGATTAGGAAATTGGGAATGTTCATAGCCAGGTGGTTGAATCATATAGACATCCTCGTGAAGGGTTCCATGGAGAAAGGCATTATTGACGTCAAGTTGGCGTAGTGGCCAACCTTTTGAGAGGGCGACGGAGAGGATCGTGGGAATAGTTACTGGTTTTGTAACCGGACTAAATGTGTCGAAGTAGTCCTTTCCATATTGTTGAAGGAACCCTTTGGCTACAAGACAAGCCTTATATTTTGCAATCGAGCAATCGGGGTGGCGTTTGATGCGAAACACTCATTTACAACCAATGGGTATTTGAGAAGTTGGGGAGATTAGATCCCATGTGTGATTTTGAATGAGTGCGTTGAACTCGAGGTCCATGGCCTCACACCATGTTGGGTCTTTTAGTGCTTGCTTGTAGGTGGATGGCTCAAGAGTTGGAGGCAGAGGGTGAAGGGTGGTGTTGTTAACAAAGTAGTCATTGAAATATTTTGGGTTGGGCTTACGTTGGCGAGGTTGGGTCGGCTCGGGAAGTGGTGGAGATAATGCTGGAGCTGGTTGGGAAGTGGCTGATGAAGTGTTTTGGAAGGGCAGAGGCGAAGGGGTAGAATGGTCGGGGAGGGGAGATGTGGCTGTGGATTCGGAGGAGGAAGTTGGGCTGGTGTGGACTTGTCTTGGGGAAGTGGATGGAGAAGGTTCTGGGCTTGTAGAAGGAAAGGGGGTGGCGGTGTGGTTGGTAGGAGGGATGACGAGATTTTGAGGTAGGGGAGTGGATGCGGGACGAGATGATGGAGAGGGGTGAGGTGGAGCGGAAGTGTCGAAGATGGAGTGGAGCGGAAGTGTCGAAAATGGAGTGGAGAAATGAGTCTGCCGTGGGGAGGGTGAGAAAGGCGGATGTGTCCGTTGTATACGGGAAAATATGTTCGACGAACTGAACATGCCGCGAATGGTAAAGTCGATGAGCAATGGATCATGACATTTGTAAGAAGATTTGGAGACCGAGTAGCCCAGAAAAATACATTTGATGGAGCGAGGCTGAAGCTTAGAGGTCGCATAGGGACGTAACCATGGGAAACAAAGACAACCAAAGGGTTTTAGTTTGAGATAAGTGGGGAAGGAATTGTTGTGTTTGGCATACGGGGTTTGAAAGTTAAGGATGGGCGTGGGTAGGCGGTTGATAAGATAAACAGCCGTTTGAAAGGCATGCGACCAAAATGTGACGGGAAGATGAGCATGATGAAGAAGAGATAGCCCTGTGTCGACAATGTGCCGATGACGTCGCTCGGCAACGCCATTTTGCTCCGGTGTATGTGGGGGAGTTGTGAAATGGGAAATTCCATGTTGGTTGAGGTATGGAATGAGTCCAATATATTCCCCACCGTTGTCACTAAAGAGGGAGACAAGGGTAGTCTTGAAGAATTTTTCAACAAGAGTTTTAAATTGTGGAAATAAGATAGATACGTCTGATTTATGTTTGATCGGATAAAGCCAAGTGTATTTGGAAAAATAATCCACAAAATATAACATAATATGTGAAACCATCATTAGATGGTGTGACCGGACCCCAAACATCGGAATATATAAGTTCAAGCGGTCTGTGAACATGAAATGAGTTTGAGCCAAAAGGTAGTTTATGACTTTTATTAAGGGAACATGCATCACAATGAAAGTTAAAAGACGACGTTTTATTCGAGTTAACACCAAGTTGTTTTAGTAATAACTTGAGAACTTTTATTGATGGATGACCGAGCTTGTGATGCCTGGACAAAAGCGAACCGGCGGAGGTTGTGGTAAAGTTGAGTTAAGGAAGGCGAGGAAGAACTTGAGGAATAGCATAGTAGATGTCATCAATGTTCGTGCCCCGCATGAGATGCGCCCCCGTGCGAAGATCCTTGACCACAAAATAGGAGGAAAAGAATTCAATCGAAACGTGATTAGTCTTGCATAATTTGGCAATGGAGATAAGATTATTTCGTAGGTTAGGAACAAGAAAAATATTATTCATATGTAAGGGACGAGTAGATGTCGATAAGGTGGCGTGACCAGTATGAGTGATGGAAAGGGGAGTGCCATTACCTAACACAATTTCATCAGGCCCTCCGTAGTCAGAGAGGGTGTGTAATGCCGATCGATCAGAGGCAACGTGGTGAGAAGCACCACTATCAAACATTCAAGCATTAGTTGGTGAGATGGGTCTAGCCGACGATGTGTTAATGACAGGAGCAGACCCATGGATGATGATATCGTTCGCCTTGAGGAACTTAGCCAACTTTCTGCAGTCTTTGGTGTCGTGACCCAGAATGGAACAATAGTTACAAAAAAAAGAATTACGATTACCATTCGGGATCGAAGATGCGCCGCTTAAAAATGTTGAAGAACAAGCTAGCCTTGGAGCATTTGAGAACCGAATTTGGGTCCGATAGTCACTACTTGGGCGATTATTAGAGGGCCTAGCAGGCTGTCGTTGAGTCTGATTAACAGTGGCTAGAATTGGGCCACTAGGGTTGACCTGGAGAGACCGTTCATGGTCGACCAACTTGTCGAACAAGTCTAAAAATTTGATGGTTGTTTCTCGCATCTTTAACGCCGCTGAAACATATGCAAAATCGTCACCTAGTTGGCCAAGGATATGGACAACCAGGTCCTCGTCGGAGATGGGAGATTGTGCTAGCGCTAAGTCGTCTGCAAGTGTTTTCATCTCGTGCAAATATTCAGCTATTGGACGGGAACCTTGGGGGTTGTTTGCAAGCCGAGATTTTAAGGAGATTATGCGAGACCGGGAATTACTCGCATAGCTTGCAAAAAGCTGTTCGAAGGCCTGACATGATGTCTTAGCAGAGGTGATAACATGTTGGATTTGCTCCGAGCAACTGCCGAGGAGGGCACCGAGCAAGGTTTGGTCTTGGCGGAACCAAGTCAGATAAGCGGGGTTCGGTTTGGTTGAATCGGAAGCAAGGGTTTTGGATGGGGTGTGAGTGGTGCCGGTGACATAGCCGTCCAGTCTGAGGCCAACAAGGGTGGCCATAACCTGCTTTCGCCACACCGGAAAGTTTAATGGGGTGAGCTTAATCGGAAAATGAGTATGAGAGGTAACATCTATGATGGCGGTTTGTGTCATGGTTGATCAGAGATGGAGGAAGACCGGCAATTGAGGGGATCGGAAAAAAAATTGCTCAAAGGAGCTTGTGGGCTTTGATACCATAACAGAGGTGAATATTGTGATTGAAAATGAAGTAATTCTCATTAAAAAATTACCACCATATATAATGGCATATACAACAATCAAGAAGTAATTACAGGGTTAAGTTTAATAACCATCCTATCAAATATTGACTAACTATAAATAAATACAACACATGGAAAATACATTTGAATTTACTTGTTCTTCAAGACTCTTTAATAATATTGGTGTTAATACAGCCTTGGTGTACAACAAATGTGATAATCATCTTTTGTACGGTCCGTGCATACATCACAGTGTAATCCACCCGTGTTGTGAATAACCTTTAATTACGAACCTTGCTTTGTATTTATCGATCTTTTGGAGCTCTTAAGTTTTGTTTTATAAAAATTATTTAACTCCTATTTTCTTTGCTCGAACCCGTAGTCACTAACTCCTAAGTTTGATCTTTTTTAATTGATTTTGTTTTCTCATCCATGGACATTCTCCATTTTGAACTTTTCACAGCTTCCTCAAGCTCATTGGATATGTGGATGCTACTTATGCCATATTTAATGTCTCGTCTTTAGATAAACCTTCATATCTGACGTACTCTTCTATCCATGGAAGATTCCTAACTCTACCATCCCTAGGAATCATACCCTATTCGTTAGCTTTTACGATGCTAAAAAAAGCTTGATGTCTTCATTTTAAACTTCTTCATCTTCATGTTCAATCCTTCATAATCTTCCTTACAGGATGGGCTACCTATGTTGCCTTCCCATTCCAAATCCACCAGGAGCTCCTTTTTAGAACTTGGATCCTAATTCCACCATTTTCTTTCTTCCAAAATTGCATCTCATTCACTATTTCTTTTTGAAATAGGATTATACAACCTATACCCTCTGTATTCATCACTAACACCAAGAAGCACACAACATGTGCTTTCGTCTTTAGGATTCTTTCATGGCTAAGACATCCAAAGACTCTAATATGTTCGACTGCTAGTTTATTTCTTTTTCGAGCCTCTTTGGGAGTCATGGACGCAACAACAACCGTTGGTGATTGATTTATAACGCACACTGTCCACCTTACTACCTTTGGCCATAACGTTTGGGGTCACCCTTTTCTCTAACAACATCGGTCTCACAAGATTCATCATAGTTCAATTCTTACATTCCGCCACTCCCTTAACTGCCTCTTTATCTCATTTTGATTACAAAAATCGATAAACTCCATAAAATTAACTCTCCTCCCTGAATTGTACGTAAACATTTAATAAACAAACCATCTTCCTTTTCTACAAGCGCTTTAAAACACTTAAAGTACTTTTGACTTTTTTGATAAGAAATATGTCCATGTTTTCCTAGAGAAATCATCAATGAAACATAAAACATGCTTCTTATTGCTGTTAGAGGCTAGTGTAATGGGACCACAAATGTCTGCATACAATAACTCTAGCTTTTAAGATGCTCGTGACAGACTCTTATTTGGGAAAGAACCACAATATTGTTTGCGCTTCATACAATCGTTACATACCATCGAAGAAATCAGAAACTTGAGCAAGCCTCTAACTATTTCCTTTGATTGTAGTGGCTTTAGTCCCTTGTAACCAAGATGAGCACACATACAATTCCATAAGTGAGTAGTGTCTTGTGTAGTCGTGTTGAAGCGTGATTGATTCTAAACTTGGGCTAGCCAAACAACATAGACATTTTGTTTGCAATCATGTTGGTATGCATAATGAGACCTTTATGTGGGTGATATATACTACAAGATCCGGATCAGATTACAATATCAATCTTCGCTCTACAATTGACCTAAAATCAAGAGATTATTTTTAAGTTGAGGTTTATGATGTACATCCGTGATTACTTGGATTATTCCATTGGCCTTCAACTTCACACTTCCCTATTCATTTTTATGTTATTCCCAAGCTTTACTCGCTTCTAAAGGTGTTGTCTATTGTGATGAATATTGATTTGTCTCCGCATATGTAGTTCGAGCGTCCTGAATCTAAGAACCATGTATTTTCTTCAAGCTCTTCACTCTCATCAAACTTGACATAATTTGCCTCCTCCAGGATGGACACACATACATAAAATGATCTAGTCTATGACATTTATAATATTCAACATAGGATCAGTTAAAGCTTTGTCTTCCCACCACGTCCTTGAGTGCTACCCATGGCTCTTCCTCTTGTATCAAGTCTCTCTTCTGAACTAATTTTCAACGTTTTTTCTTCACTATCTCTTCTACGAAATTAGTTCATGCACAATCAAAGAATTTGCAATTTGTCGAGTGTCAAAGAATCGGTGTCATTTGATTCCTCAATATAACAAACAATGTAATTAAATTGCTCTGTTGACGATCATAGAATCTTCTCCACTACATTCACATATGGCATACCTTCTCCATAGTTTCGCATATTATTGGCCACCACCATAACTCTTGAGAAATAATCTGCAATCGATTTCCCAATCTTCATTTCTAGAACCTCAAAATCTCGATGAAGGACTTGGAGTTGTACACGTTGAACTCGTGTATTTCCTTGAAACTTTCTGTTCATTGATTCTCATATCTGCTTGGAAGTATCATTTTGAAAAATGGTTTTGATGATTGATTTGTCAATGGACTAGAATAGGTGACTTTTTGCCTTCAAATCTTTCAGTTTGAGTTATTCTAAAGTCTTCTTTTGTGCAGTCATCAATGCTTCCCCGACTTCTGGTTCATGATACTCAGTTTTGATGAGACTCCATCACTCCTTTCGAAGGTTATCCATCAACATGCTCCAATGATCGTAATCTCCATCAGACATAGGAAAGCTGGGTGGAGTGAAACCTCTTTCTTTTGTCATCTTTTATCACTCGCCAAATGTTTTCACTTTTGCTCTGAAGTGGGTTGACTAACCTTAATCGATCCTTACCAAATAAACCCTTACCTCCCTCAATTGATGTATTTAAATAGGATTTAAATGTGTTAAATACCATCATTGGCATATTTTCTTTTAAATGAATGTTAATTGTATAATTTAGATATAAATTTCATAATGATGATGAATAAATATGTGAAATTGTATAAATTTATCTATAAATTCAACACTATAATTTTCTGATGAGTAAAATAAACAATTTATATAAGTTTAGACATTTATCAGTTTAAAAAACAAATAGTCTTATTAATTCTACTTCCAGACTTCAACACCGCATCTTATCAATCAGAAGGTAAATAAGACTTTAGACTTCAACACCTCTTAATAAATAAACAACACCTTACTCTTTTGTCTCACTTTAGGATACTTCAACTCCTTATTGTATACTCTGGCTCTGATACTAATATGTGAGAGATACTTGCAAAAATGATATACCAAAAACATAATGATTTTATTGAACACAACAAAAGGCTTAAACAACAATACAAACACAACAAAATAGAGGAAAAATAGCAAGGCTCTTGACCCGATACAACAATATCAAAGAAAAGATCAAACCACAACTAATATGCTAATCAAGGAATTTATTCTACAACATGATTAATAAAACCTTGTCACTTGCTATGCCTCTTACTAGGAAAGATTATAGGTCAATATCTTGCTCATTAGTCATTACTAAGATAAGTGACACCCGATATGCGCTTACACACATGCTTGAAATAAATTCATGTTTTTTTATTCTCTATGTTCAACAATGGAGTCTAAAGAACGACACCAACTCTCAAGCAAGGGGAGACTCACCATATATAAAAGGGGGAAGACCTAGTTAAAAAGTCATTTTTACCGAGGTTAAAAAATAACCTTTTTTTTACTTTCTACATCGTTCGTGTGCATTCTGTGCGAGTAGCGGAACCACTCCATCGCCAGAACGGCATGTGCCTCCTGAGTTTTGAAAAAAATTGATACGGAGAAAACAACCCTTTTTCAAGCTCACACAAATAGTTTTTTTTTTTTTCATTGTATTAGTTAAGGGCTAAATGCATTTAATAACAAACTATTTTCATAATATCTTTTAGGGAAAATTTAAGAAAACCCAACGAACTATCCTATTTTGAATATTTAAGTAACTAAACTATTTTTTTAATGAAAAAAACCATTGAATTTTCTCATTTTAAATGATTAAGTCTCTGAACTATTTTTTTGTGAATGAAAAACCAATATACTTTCTTATTTTGAATGATTAAGTCCTTAAATATTTTCTTGAATAAATAAATCATCGAACTTCTAAAAATTGGTTACCTACATTTAAAAAAGAGGCTACTTGTAACTTAGTAGGAATGTTTTAAAGTAAAAACAAACCTACATTAGTTTAACCATGACCAAACCCTACGCCATGAAAACCCCTTAGAAACAATGGTATCGCTTCCCGTTGCCCTAACGTTGTCCATTCTCCATAGCTAACACGCTGTGTCCCCCTGCCATTGATCTTCCGCTTTTTGATATATTTTTTATCCATCAAAAGAGGGAGAATAGATAACCAGTTACAAATAGGCTTTTTAGGTTAAAAAGACATAACTAACCAATTTCTAGAAGTTGGATGGTGTAATTTATTGAAAAATGTTCAGAGACTTAATTATTCAAAATAAGAAAATTTAATGGTTTTTTCATTCAAAGTGAGAAGTATAATGGTTTTTTCACATTCAAAATGAGAAAGTTTAATGGATTTTCACTCAAAAAAATAGTTCAAATACTTAATCATTCAAAATGTGTGATAGTTTGTTAATTTCTAGTTGTATTTATCTCACACACTCACTAGAACATAAAGAATACTTGTAGTTTATGCTTGGTATCACAAAGTCTTCTCAATTTTTGAACAAAGAATGACATGCAAGACTTCAGAGAGTTTAGAGAGTTGATGTTTTTAAATCCCTTTGAAACATGTTTCCTTCTTTTCTTTTAGTAGAATCTCTAGGTTTTAAGAAGGGCAACTAATTTTTTTTTTCACAAACCAAAAATTTGAATTGCT